GGGGGGGGGGGGGGGCGAGTTTGATAAATTTAAGTCATACACAGGTTGGGAACATCCCCTGAAAATTTCAGCCTCCGGGCTTTTCTGGTTCCCGAGTTAGCCATTTCCCCGCAAAAAAATTTCTCGGGGTCGTACGTGAGTACCACGCACAATTAAGGGCTAATTGCACTCATACTGGGAACATTCCCTGGAAATTTCAGCTCCCCAGCTTTCCTGGTTCCCAAGTTAGCGGTTTTCGCACCAGGAACCCTCACAAGGCTATACGTGGGAATTACGCACAACTGGGAATGAATTTGAAATCTTTGAGTGCTATGCAGGCGGGGAGCATGACCTCAAAATTTCAGCTTTCTAGTTTTTCTGGTCCTTGAGTTAGCGATTTTCCCGCCAAAACTTTCACTCGTACGCGGGGCCCAGACTTGCATGAGGGTAGGTACCGCGGTCCTGGGATGACAGTTGGTCGGGGAGCCCACTGGCAAAATTTTGGCGCCGAAGCTTGCTTGGGTGCCGAGTTGAAACACCCGGACAGACGTACAAACACACATACACACACACCGAGATCGTTACAATATACGTTTTTGCGTTTGCATATAAGCAAAAACGCATAAACAGTTTTTGATTTGTTAATGCGCGTCTTCGTCTGAAATGCTTTGACTTCTGTGTTTGAGGTAAATCTCTCTTCAGTATTGGGGGAGGGGAGAGGGGGAAGAGGGAGGGGCGAGATAAGTTCTCGGTTTTGTTGGTTGCTTACATCTCCCCCATGCGTCATTGTAGTTTTTTAAATAGCACTCTTCCGAGCAAAAAAAAGCGGAAGTTTTGCAAGGAATTGGGTCTAATATCCAGCACTTCTGATGAACTACGTGAAAAAATATTGCTTTTTCAAGGTTTATTGAGAAACTCTAGCACCACTTAGGCTGAGTTTGCTTTCATTTTCCGTTTGCTGTTTTTCACTCCACCAATGCCTTCTTTAGTTGTTCTCGCTGCTTCAGTAATTTTTTGATTTTTTTTGCTGAAAAAAACAACGCTTTTCGAGGGAGCCTGTTCATAGAAGACTATCAAATTATTTCAGTGAACTCCGTATAAGTTTGCTTCACACATTTAATATTTTTTTTAATGCTTCCGCAGAGTAGTTACTTCGTGCTACTAATAGCTCAGATGAGGAAATAGGAAGGGGAGGAAATAGAAACAGGCAAAGGATCTTTTATTTATTGAAAAGAGTCTATTTTTTTCTGCTTCATATTTATGTAATGATGGGCTAATGCAGGAGTCGAAACGACTATATGTCTAGCGTTAAATTCTGTGTGCGCAGTGGGTACATATTGTGTACATGACTCTTTCATGAACTGACACAGCGTGTGAAGAGTTCCAGAAGTCTGGATCCTGTTTGGTTCTAGAATTAAAACATCAGCTATTTTTTAAATATGCGATGAAATCAAGCAACAGCACAGCTTGTAAATTGCTTTAGAGCAGTCTTATCAGTTTGCACGATCAATAAATGCTAAAATTTCTCCGTCCTGAGCTGGCATTCTATGCGCTCATATAATACTTTACGTTTTGAACCCTGAACTTAAAGACATGATGCAGCGATATTTGGAATTTATTGCAGAGCAGTTATTCTAATGGCAGTTACTAAAAGGCTCGGCTCCGTAAAATTAATTGGTTGGGAGTAGTCTGAGATGTTGTTCTGAAGCCGAGATTTTGTC